TTTGAACTTATTTGTGGAGTCCTTAGAAAGATAACTTTCTTATAAACAAAACTAACTTGAGGATCATTTGGAAGACAGCATAATTATTTGTTGAGTTTATAGAACTTGAAAGTTCAAAGAAAGGGAACAAGTAAATGATTCTAGATTTTTTTAAAAAAAATCTTTTTTTATAATTAGCAACCATATTATAATACTGATTCTTCCTAGGACTCGGTGACAACTTGAATGTTTAGGATTAGTAAATATTTCTGTCGCTTTATTTTACAAATGAGCCTGTATCCAAGACTAACACTTTGTGACTTTTAAAGTTCTTGACTATCTGTTGTGTAATTTGGAAAGCTTAGAAATGGGTAATTCATTATGTCTCCTCCTAGGTCTAAGAGTTGTGATCTAAATTATTATAACATCATATTGCAAATTGAACATTGAATTATTTTTTGCCATTTTCTGTGTTTACTTACTAGAACAAGTACCATAGCTAGTACCATTCTCTATTACTGACCAAGAAGGCCTAAGTGAGAAATTTGCTTTTGCAGTTATGATTTCCAAGTGTCCAATCCAAAATAACCTTAGGGAAGTAAAATGCTTCCATAACTGAAAATGTATATGAAAATATTTTAAAACTTTGAGTTTTGCCAGTAGATTCACACAGAAGAGGAGATTCTTAAAAAATCCTATTTTAAGTGAGAGCTATTAGTAAAAACTTTAAGTAATTCAATTAAATATAAAATATGCTTTGTACTTTTCAACTCCAAAAATGTGTAAATGTACTAAATATAAAACAGTGTTTTTAGGGCGTAAAATGTAATTTATAACCTATTTATGACTTTTAATCTAATAACTAGGATGCAGTAGTAGTTCAGAAATGTCATTCTTGAAAAAGTAATCCTGAATGCTTTTATAGCTTATTGTAAAGTCATTAGTTTATAAATGTAAGGAATTTTGTCAAAGTTACACAATATAAGTATGCACACATGCTTTTATAGCTTATTGTAAAGTCATTAGTTTATAAATGTAAGGAATTTTGTCAAAGTTACACAATATAAGTATGCACACATGCTTTTATAGCTTATTGTAAAGTCATTAGTTTATAAATGTAAGGAATTTTGTCAAAGTTACACAATATAAGTATGCACACACATCAGTTGTAACTGTACAGCTCTTTTCCTTAGTATGAATACTCTTCAGACTAACGACTGTGTTATTTAGGCCTACTGCATGACCAAAATATGGCAAAAATGAGACTACTTACTTTTATGGGAATGGCAGTGGAAAACAAAGAACTTTCTTTTGACACAATGCAGCAAGAACTTCAGATTGGAGCTGATGATGTTGAAGCATTTGTTATTGATGGTAAGACAACTTTTTTTTCCCCTCTATGACATGGAACATAAGGTTTTTTTGAATCTTGAAAGGATTTTATAGGTTATTTTGTAGCAGGTTGGCATGTGTAGTAGATTAGGGGACATATTAATAGCAAAGAGCTCTGGTGGCCCAATGGTGAGGAACTGTACTACCAGCTGCTCTGTGAAAGAAAGTTGGGCCATCTCATCCTGTGCAATTAATTGCTTTTGAAAACCTGCTGGAGGGTCATCTAGAAGTTGGTTCTGACCCAATGGTATGTAACATGGTAGCCTAGTGGTTAAGAAGTTACCAGAGAATCAGTGGCTGGCAGTTTTAATCCACCAGCTCCTCCTTGGGGGAAACATGGGCCGTCTCCTCCCTTGTGATTAACAGCATCTGAGAACCGTTTGTGGGGTGAGCTATGGCATGGTTCTGACTTAGAATGAAAATTAACCAAAAATATAAATTGTTAAATGGTGAGTTTTTTGTTGTTTTAGTTATTCTATCCTTTGAAGTACAGAAAATAAAAAGCCTTTAGGAAGTATACATAGATGACTAAGAGCACAGATTTTAATGTCAGATAGACCTGGCTTTAAAACCAGGTCTTCCTCTATGAGGTGGAAATGTATGAATTCATTTGTGGTAATGAAGACTAAATGAATTCATGTTGGGAAGGCACTTAGCCCAGTGACTAACACAGTAAATGATCTATATGTGTTGTTGTTGTTGTTTGTTGTTTAATGCCGTTGAGTCGTAGACGACTCATAGCGACCCTATGAACGAACAGCCTGAGCACTGTTCATACATAGAGTTTCCGGAGGCAAGCCATTTTGGAAGTGGATGCCGCTCCTGCTTCCAGGCTTGATTTAGTCGGGAAGCTCCAGCCAACACTGTCCACCATGGGTACCCATTACCAC